GACTAAGGATGACACTCTGGAGGTGGGAGGGTCCCTTATCAGACCAGCCTCTGTAAATCCTCCAAGTGAACTGTGTCTAGGTTCTGCATCCTGAGCACAGAAAGGGAGGAAAAAGGGTGATTCTCGTCTGAATGTTAAGAAGTTGGACTCCATGCTAGATGCCAAGTGGGGCTCATGGGACCAAACTCCAGAGCATAGGCTAAGTGGGCACCAGAGTAGCTGGACATCTTGGCCATGAACCCTTTTCCTCACACCCCAGGTGACACTACTTGAGCATACACCCCCAGGCAGTGCTATTCTCTCCGTCTCTGCCACTGACCGGGACTCAGGTGCCAATGGTCACATCACCTACCACCTGGCTTCCCCTGCCGAGGGCTTCAGTGTTGACCCTAACAATGGTGCGTCTTTCTTGGGATCTGACTCTGATTTTTTTCATGTTGGGCTGTATCCTGACCTCCTATCTATAATTTCTTGCTCTAACTCTTAACCCCCATATCTGACCCAAAAGGGACATTTCCTCCTCTGTCTCTATTGTAAGCCCTATCCTGACTGCACAACTAAAGGTCATTCTCTGAACTTTGAGTCCTAGAGGCCATTCCATGGTCTCCTGGCACAGAGACCATTTCCTAGACCCCGAAGGGTCACATGGCTGCTCCCCGACAGCCTCTACTGAATGCCTGCTTCTTTCTATTCCCTTTTCATCTCAGGGACCTTGTTCATGACAGTAGGAACAGTGGCCTTGGACCAGGAGGGACCAGGAGTGGTGGATGTGGTGCTGGAAGCACGCGACCATGGCGCACCAGGCCGGGCAGCACGAGCCACAGTACATGTGCAGCTACAAGACCAGAACGACCACGCCCCAAGCTTCACATTGCCACACTACCGTGTGGCTGTGTCTGAAGATCTGCCCCCTGGTTCCACTCTTCTTACTGTGGAAGCCACTGATGCTGACAGAAGCCGTACCCATGCCGCTGTGGACTATAGCATCATCAGTGGCAATCGGGGTCGAGTCTTTCAGCTGGAGCCCCGGCTGGCTGAGGCTGGGGAGGGTGGTGGACCAGGCCCCCGAGCTCTTGGTTGCCTGGTGCTGCTTGAGCCACTGGACTTCGAGAGCATGACCCAATACAATCTAACAGTGGCTGCAGCTGACCGGGGACAGCCACCCCGCAGCTCAGCAGTGCCAATCACCGTCACTGTGCTAGATGTCAACGACAATCCACCTGTCTTCACCCAAGCATCCTACCGCATGGTGGTACCTGAGGACACACCTGTTGGAGCCGAGCTGTTGCATGTGGAGGCCTCTGATGCTGACCCTGGTCCTCATGGCCTCGTGCGCTTCACCCTCAGCTCAGGTGACCCTGTGGGGCTCTTTGAGCTGGATGAGAGCACAGGAGCCTTGCGCCTGGCCCACCTGCTGGACTGTGAGACCCAGACTCGACATCAGCTTGTAGTGCAGGCTGCTGACCCAGCTGGAGCACATTTTGCTCTGGCACCAGTGACAATCGAGGTCCAGGATGTGAATGACCATGGCCCAGCCTTCCCACTGAGCTTGCTCAGCACCAGCTTAGCAGAGAACCAGCCTCCAGGGACTCTTGTCACCACTCTGCATGCAATTGATGGGGATGCTGGAGCTTTTGGGAGGCTCCGCTACAGCCTCTTGGAGGTGGGGACAGGACCTGAGGGCTGGGAAGCATTTGCTCTGAATAGCTCCACCGGGGAGCTGCGGGCCCGAGTGCCCTTTGACTATGAGCACACAGGAAGCTTTCGGCTGCTGGTGGGGGCTGCTGATGCTGGGAATCTCTCAGCTTCAGTCACTGTGTCGGTGCTGGTGACTGGCGAGGATGAGTATGACCCTGTATTCTTGGCTCCAGCTTTCCACTTCCAAGTGCCAGAAGGTGCCCGGCGTGGTCACACCCTGGGTCACGTGCAGGCTACAGACGAGGATGGGGGTGCTGACGGCCTGGTGCTCTATTCCCTTGCCACATCTTCCCCTTATTTTGGAATCAACCAGACTACAGGGGCCCTGTACCTGCGGGTGGACAGCCGGGCACCAGGAAGTGGGACGGGCACCTCTGGGGCTGGGGGCCGGACCCGGCGTGAGGCACCACGGGAAATGAGGCTGGAGGTGGTGGCACGGGGGCCACTGCCTGCATCTCGAAGTGCCACAGTGCCTGTGACTGTGGATATCACCCACACAGCCCTGGGCCTGGCACCTGACCTCAACCTGCTATTGGTGGGGGCTGTGGCGGCCTCACTGGGAGTTGTGGTGGTGCTTGGCCTGGCAGCCCTGGTCCTAGGGCTGGTGCGGGCACGAAACCGCAAGGCTGAGGCAGCCCCTGGCCCTATGTCACAGACAGCACCCCTGGCCAGTGGCTCCCTGCAGAAGCTGGGCCGGGAGCCACCCAGCCCACCACCTTCAGAGCACTTGTATCACCAGACTCTCCCCAGCTATGGTGGACCGGGAGCTGGAGGACCCTACCCCCGTGGTGGCTCTCTCGACCCTTCACACTCAAGTGGTCGAGGCTCAGCAGAGGCTGCAGAGGATGATGAGATCCGTATGATCAACGAGTTCCCCCGTGTGGCCAGTGTGGCCTCCTCCCTGGCTGCCCGTGGCCCCGACTCAGGCATCCAGCAGGATGCAGATGGGCTGAGTGACACATCCTGCGAGCCACCTGCCCCTGACACATGGTATAAGGGCCGTAAGGCAGGGCTGCTATTGCCAGGCACAGGAGCCACTCTGTACCGAGAGGAGGGCCCCCCTGCCACTGCCACGGCATTCCTGGGGGGCTGTGGCCTGAGCCCTGCACCCACTGGTGACTATGGCTTCCCAGCAGACGGCAAGCCATGTGTGGCAGGTGCGCTGACGGCCATCGTGGCTGGAGAGGAGGAGCTCCGTGGCAGCTATAACTGGGACTACTTACTGAGCTGGTGCCCTCAGTTCCAGCCGCTGGCCAGCGTCTTCACAGAAATTGCTCGGCTCAAGGATGAATCTCGGCCGTGTCCCCCTGCTCCCCGTATTGACCCGCCACCCCTCATCACTGCCGTAGCCCACCCAGGAGCTAAGTCTGTGCCCCCCAAACCAGCCAGCACAGCTGCAGCCCGGGCCATCTTCCCACCGGCCTCTCACCGCTCCCCCATCAGCCACGAAGGCTCCCTGTCCTCAGCTGCCATGTCCCCCAGCTTCTCCCCCTCACTGTCTCCTCTGGCGGCTCGCTCACCTGTTGTCTCACCATTTGGGGTGGCCCAGGGCCCCTCAGCCTCGGCACTGAGCTCAGAATCTGGCCTGGAGCCGCCTGATGACACAGAGCTGCACATCTAGCTGTGGCCCAGGCTGGGCCCCGACCTGGGACGCGCACAGCGTCCCCAATGCAGGCCCCATTCTGAGCCTGCCCCGGGCAGCCTCGGACCATGATTGGCTACAGGGGAGGCCGCCCTCAGGCCCCAGATCCCCACCCCAAACTCCAGTGGGGACAGGTCCCACATCCCTGCCCCTCAGAGCACCAGCACAGAGAGGCCCTGTTGGGACACTGACCTGGAGGCCAAGTCCAATGTGGGAGAAAATATGAAGGAGGCAACAGCCCTGGGTTCTCCCTGAGGGCTTCCTGCCCTGTGCCAGCACCCTGGGATGGAGCTGAGACTTTATTTATTGGGGGGTAGGGGGGTGGGGAGGTCCCTCCAACCTGTTTGGGCCCAGATCCTTTGGGTTCCACTGACACCTCTGCCCCTGCCTAAAACCAAGTGCCAATTCTCACTCTGGAGCCTTAATAAACTGCAGTTTGTATCCAGTCTCCGGTTCAGTTCTGTGAGGGCCACAGGGGCAGGGGGATGATTGGAAGTGGGCACCTCAGGAACCATGGGGGTGCAGTGGACATGGTGGGGATATCTAGTAGGGGGTGGTACTAGAGCTCAGGAGCCTAGCGTGAGGTTGACCATTAAACCTCTTGACAGCCAATCTTTCTAAAATGGGCAGGAAGCCTTGGAGAGGGCAGCCAGCAGGTGCTGGGTTGTGACATCCAACTAGAGGGATTGGCTGGATGTGGAGGGATCTTGAGGATGACCAGCTCCAGGCCTGGGGTGGGGGTTGAGGGGATACAAGAGCAGCTAAGTAGCTTATTTGTTTTTCTTCACCTCCTGTGTATCATCACGGTAATAAGAGCTCTCATTTGTTGAACCTTTGCCATGTCAGGCTCTCTGCTGAGCTATCTGCCAGCTTTATCTCAGGGTGAATTTTCACAGCAACCCTGTGAAGCAAATCACTTTTAATATATTTAATAGTGCCTGTATTGCAAATAGGAGCTCTGGTGGCATAGTGCCTAAGGCATTTGACTGCTGACCAGGAGGCTGGTGGTTCAAACCCACCAGCCACTCCTGGGAAGGAAGATTGGGCAATCTACTTTCATATAGATACCGCCTCAGAAACCCAAGGAGGGGTCGCTATGAGTCGGGCCCAACTCCACGGCAGTGAGTTTGGTTTTTGTTGTGCCCCTCCCCCGGTTTGTATTACAAATGAAGAGACCTAAGACCAGAGAGGTGAGATTACTCACCTGCTACATGTTGTTGTTGTTGTTATGTGCCGTCGAGTCGGCCCCGACTCAGAGCGACCCCTCCTTGGGTTTCCGAGGCAGT